AAGAAAGCTCAAGGAGAGAAAATTGCCCCTTACATTTTTAAAATCAATAATACCCAAACTCTCCAGGAGTATCTAAACAAAGAAAAAATCACTTATGAAATTTATCAAGAGGAACGAAAAATAATAAACAATAACCTCAACTTATGATAAACCAAGAAAGAAACAAAAATTAGAAGAAACGTAAGGGAAATAAATTCAACGTAAAAGCATCCCACCAACACCTTCACTGATTGAGCGACCTGTCAACGAAAGATCTATAAGACTGCTCGATCATATTTCGCCACTTTGACACAATTATAATTAAAGAGTCAAACTGTATGTAAAAAATTTTTTGCATAAGCATAAATTTTATTATTTCAATTATTGAATGCGCGCTCTGGAAATATAAATAACGTAAACACACCAAAGTGATTGCATGGGAGGAAAATACTTGGACCCAAAGCCATTGATGAGTATAACCTATTCTTTGGTCACTCTGGTGCAAATTTAAATTTCATTATCTTTTTTACTATTATTAGTAACAACGTTATTATTACTATCCTCTATTTCTTCATTTTCCTTTTCCCCATCTGAGTATACATTTTTCTTCTTCTCTTCGTCAATCCAACATTGGATTGCCTCAATAGTCTTCTTCCGCGGAGTCGTTCGTCGTCGGTAAAAATTTCGTATTGTGGAAGACGCAATAGCTTTTACTTCGAGTAATTTATGAATTTGGAATGCCATTTTATTAAACGAAAACTTTGAATCCAATTCGGTTCGTTTATCGTATAATTGTTTTAGATCGTTCCACAATGTTTCAACATCTGGCGAATAAATTTTGTTCACTGATGGTTTCGTTTTTGACAACTTTCTTGACTTTCTAGTCTTAATCAATGCGCCAATACGATTGAGTTGGCTATTACAGATTAGCTAGTTTACCAATAAACCAAGAACGAAGCCGATTAATGCTCCGTGAATGTTAACATTTTTCGCAAAGCGTTAAGGCAAGCAGTTTAACGTAGAAGCTTCCCACCAAGACCTCGCCGATCGAGCAACCTATCAACGAAAGATCGTTCTTTATTGTTAGTCTTGATAAAAGACTGCTCGATTGCATTCGTTAAGCTTTGATTCACATTATTGCAATAATGAGTCAAGCATGTAAAATAATTCAATTTTTCGTAAGCATAAATTTATTATTTATTGAATGCGCGCTCTTGAAAATATAAACGACAATAAAAGCACCAGAATGAAAATTTTGGATCCGATTCAATTCTTTTTTCGTATAATAGGATTAAATCGTTCCATAAGTTTTCGATTTCTGGTGGATAGTCACGTTGGCCAATTTGTTTGTTAGTCTTATTCTTCGGCTCCATTAAATTGATTACTTTATCAGTTTTCTGATTTATGATATGCAGCTGATCTTTGTGAATTTTATAACAAAGGGAATGTCCAAGGATAATTCCGATCAATAATCCGAGAATAAATTCGCTTGTGAGAACAAACATTTTAAAATGATAAAGTCTGTTAGATAGATTTTTGTAAAAGCAGTTCGCGAAGCTTTTTGTAAAGTAGCTCGTTATTTATATTGAACCTTTTTTGAGTCACGATATTCGAACTAAACGTTCATTAATGCGTATGTAATCAACATGCGCGAATTTCTGCGCATCAATTATCATTGGTCACATTCTGCATATAGGGGCAATAGTACAAGTGTACCTATAGTTACATTGTGACGTCATTGATTAAACCATTGATCAGCATTATTATTATATCACACTGCGCAGCGCGTCTTTCCAACAAAAATAATTTCGTCCTTCATATCCATCATACAAGAAACATGAGCACAGCATACGACGATGCAAAGTGGGAGTATGACAAGGCTATGGGGAAGATGGAAAAGCTAGGAAATCTGAGGATAAGTTTGGCAGTTGAAGAATGGAGAAACCAGAGAGAAAGAATGAGGTGGATAGCGGAGAAGGAACAGCTAGAGGGGGAAGAAGAGGGGTTGAAAGCGAACATAGAATACTGGAAGGGAGAAATGAAGAGGCTGACGACCTCTCAACCAGGTAACGACTTTGTGACTCGGGCGTTGGGGACATAGAGTAGGGTAGAGTAGAGATAACATATACAAAAGTATCGAATCAGCTTGACGATCAATTAGTAAAACATATGAAAAATCTAATTTTTCGAACATCTGTATTGGCATTATTTACTAAGTAAACAACCAGAATTTTTATATTGTTATGAAGCTAATTGACTGTAGTATTCGAATAAAATACTCATAAATTTAAACAAGTTGTTATAATGGAGCCATTATCTACCAAACTGTCAGTATATATGTTACACATATGTAAATCATATTGTGTAACATATGTGTTATCACTTCAGCAAATTACAGCTTTGTTATGATACGTTGTGTAAATTTGTCAGTATTTTGTTCGAAAACTACAGTCAATTAGCTTCATAACAATACAAAAATTCTGGTTGTTTGCTTAGTAAATAATGCCAATACAGATGTTTGAAAATTTAGATTTTTCATATGTTTTACTAATTGATTGTCAAGCTGAGTCAATACTTTTGTCCGGTGAGTGTAGATAAATACGTTAAAGATCTCAAAACAATTATTGACCGCAAAAATGGAAGAAGGCAAAAAAGAGCAAAAACGCTCCTTGATAGATAAGTAACCCCTTTTTTTTGATTGGGTGTAGGGTAGGGCTGTTGCAGAAACTTCACAATGCTGTATGAAAAGTAGAAACCCTATTTTGTTGGATTTCTACTATACTATTACCATAGAATAAATAAGAAATGTAGAAACTGATTTCTACTACTACTCTTGCAGAAGCTCTCTACAACAGCCTTAGTGGCGTGACAGGAACCTGCTTGGTTGCTCATCATTCAAGGCTGCTTGCTGAGCCACAAAACCAGTGTTGGGGCACAGAAGACCTGCTTGTGTTGTCTGATGAATAAAGGCTGCTTGCTGATCCAATGCTGGACCCACTGGGCACAGATGACCTGCTTGGTTGTCTGATGTTTTGGTGGGATGGGAAATTTAGTATGAGAAATTGGATTATTGGAGGCTTATTAGATCAAGAATAGTAATAGTGCTAGTTTCCTAAATTTTGCTTTCCTAAATTTTACTAGGAACCAAAAACTGATTGTCAACTAGCAAGAAAGTGGGAGAAGAAATGATCACAAAAGGCAGTTCATATCAACCAGCCAGTAATTTGGAATGGGAATATAGGGAATATCAAAAGAGATAAAGAAGAGGTATAGAAATGCTTTTTTCATCTAGAAGTTGAAAATTTGTGGAACTAATTATTTTTCATTTTAATCCTTTAGAATGATGAGGAGTAGAAACAAACAAGCGAGTTTGCTTATCAGGAAAAAGGGTTGGTATGTAGCTTAAATTTGTCCACAAAAAAAACACATTTTATAAAAGTGGTAACTGAGTTAATTTTTTTTAAGGGAATACTTTACTAGATGGAACTAAAATTAAGAGACCAGCTCTTAACCTGCTTCCAGATGATGATGATTCCTCCAAAGAGCATGTTGATGAGGATAGCAAACAAAATGACAACGAAGATGTCCTTGCTACTGGATCATCTGAATCAAAAAAAAGATCGGGAAAAAATACAAAATGCATTTTGTTGGCTAGAAGTTGTGAGAATCAGAAGAATAGCCAATGTTTTAGCTGCCAATTTATTATAATGTATTTCTGTAGGATGAGATCAACAACTTCTTTCAAAATCCTTCTGAACAACAAATTGAACAAGATATTTTCAAGGAAACAGACAACAAGGAGAATGGGGTATTGTTGTGGTCGGTGCATTCTTTGGGTGGGAGAGCCAATGATCTGTCGCGTAGGTGTGTTCACCGACAGGGGGATGTTAACTCAGATCGCTACCCTTACTAATAGCGATTGTCTTTACGACTGAATTAACTTATAAGTGACTATATTTAATTATGCGCGCTTAACTAACTCCCTAGACGAAGTATAAACTATACTCGTTTCTAAGTAAGGGGTACCTATGACAATACCGTTACAACTACAATATTGTCACAGAATCGAAGGGGAATAATTTTATATTTGATTTAAACAGGGCGGACTTCGATTTAGTGTTTTGACTAGTCGGGTATCTCGTCCTTCTAATTATAACTATAACTAATTAAACGATAAAACGGGAGAATCGATATCGAATATTAATACGACTTGCGTGCACTCTTTAAAAGGTGTATCTTGCTCAACGGGTATATCGCTAACCGAAGTATCTGCGAATGGTCTGTAAGCAAGCTATCTCAGACTCCAACCCGGATTCAAGTACCAATATTCAACGTCGATAAAATAGAAAGATAATAAAATGTGGATAGTATATGATTAGGTATCAAAAGGACTTTTGTAATAATTTTATTTCCTTGGATATGTTCAAATCCGTGGATTATTATATCAATTATTTTCAATCAAACAACATACAACAACATATAATTCACAACATGAGATTTTGATGATGAGAGAAGCTCTACTTATATAAGGCTTGCCACCAAAATCCCGTCACGAAAATATTACTAGATTTAGCTATTATTTGTACCTGTACTGCCACCATTTTTCCGTCACGGAAATATTACTAATTTCGGCTTGTTTACATTTTGTACTGCCACCATTTTTCCGTCACGAAATAATTACTACATTTGAACTCTAGTGTGCCAATACTAAAATTAGATCGCTGCGGGTAGTATTTCGACTGCGGAGGAAGATTTTATCACCTGACTTGCTCGTCGTAAGGTATTTATATTAAGTGAATTGTTATTCTTGACAGATAATTTGAGGATAATATATATTCTTTATGCTTACACTTTTTGTAGATAATTCATCAAACAGAAAAGCATAAGCGAGATGAATCTGATATGATTGAGGGGGATGAGAACTACAGTGATGACACAGAGGAAGATGATGAAAATTGAATGACCCGAGAAAAAAAAGGAACAATTTCAAAAAATTTTCCAGGGGATGCAATAAAAACTGTTGTTGAGAATGTCTTATTTGAATATGCAAAAGATCTTGATTATGAGGGGTAAATTCATTTAATCCAAATTTTTTAGCATTTTCTACTTTAACATATACATATTGAATAAATTATAGCTATGCACACTCCTTTATCCTTCATCATATGTGATAATAATGACAAATAAAAGCATTATTCAGTAAAGAAGATTGGAGGGACTCACTCAGAAGCCTTCACTGCTGTCTGTTGATTATGAAATCAGGAAAGTATATGAAGGAGGATCTTGCTCAGCTTCACCAAGAAGTAATTATAATGTGCAATTTCCTGAAAGAAAAAGAAGTTTATGATCCAAAGGAGCATTACACATTACTTTAAAGAATGGATCCAAATTACATTGAGACATATGTGCAACCTTTATGAAAATCCATCTGCTCCTATGTGTTGGGAACAGTATGAGGACTGGTTTACAGTCAACCTGTTTGGAAATTGCTTCGATTTCTTGATGAGACACCCAAGAATGTCTATGGATATCAAAAGGACAGATGCACATAAACTACCTCAGCAAATAGGAAAAATCGAATTAAAAAGCCAAAACAAAGAAAATTGACTGGTAGAAAGATTGATGGAATTATTCATCATTCAACTTATAATATAGAATTGGGTGCACTTGAAGCAGCAAGATCCTTTGTAAATGATGGAGACAGAAAACTTCTTATTGTGTCTTTTAAAATGCTGAAGACTTTGAAAGAGATTTTGGTTGATACAATAAGATCAAAACAATGCAATGATGAGGAAGTGAATAAGTTGGTGGCCATTGGTGTCCTGCATTTTTGCTATAATATTCAGTTTGTGAGGTTATGGTTGGCTGGAGGGTCTGTATGTATCTTTTCGAAAGATGATATTGATTCTATCTCCAATCACTTTTCTAAAACAAGCCATTTAGATTTTCTTAAATTCCTAAAAGCAATTGTGCGAAGTCAGGTAACTAACTTCTTTTTATAAATACACTTATTAGATTCTTTTGACTTTTAAAAAATTCACAAATGATTTTTTTTAGATTATAATTGAAACCAATTTAAAGGCACTTGGATTTCTCAAACAGAAGACCCCAAAGAAAGATGATTTTAAGGAGGGGAATCTTATTTCAGAGATCTTAGGCAATGGCCAGGACCCTTCGCGACCAACAACTCCTGAAAATAAAATTTATTCTATTGTAGATTGCTTCGAAATACCCCATAAAAAGAAATAAACAAATAAAAAGAGAAGAGCCAAATAAAATGTTTATACAAAGGGTTAAGCATAATGAATATTAAATAAATACGCATTTAGTTAAAAAGATAATTCGCTTTATTACTCGATGCATTAAATATTAATATTACAAATCGGTCAATTAATTGTAAAAAGTCTCCAAGATTAGTTTGAACCTTCGAATCGCTAATCGTTTTGCATAACTTCTTTTTTATCTTGTTTGATTCACGCGAAAAGGTCATGCTGAGATTCAAGTTACCTTCCTCCTAATACGTAATGTTGTCAGTTTTTATACTGCATTGTTCCAGAGAAAAAGTCCGTTTTATTGACGGTCCGTTATATCAATGGTCCGTTATATCGACTTTCACTGTGTACCATTCGCCATGTAACCCATAATTTCCATATTTTCCATGCTCTACTACGGATTTTGATAATTAATTCTGGATCATGTTTGGTTTCGTAAGTGATAGGCCCTTTTTCTTCACATCGCTCAGAAAAAGATAAATAGGATACTTTGTTTTCTGGATTCGAATTTACGAGAAGGCGGTTTTTGGTGAAGTATCATTCTCAGGCAAGATTAAAAAGCAAGAATTAACCCGCTGCAAAGTGACATAGCGATAGTATTAGCCTCTAAAGTAGCAGCTCTCAGAGTCAATACGAAAATAAAAGAGTCCACCAGCCGAATTTCCCTGCTTTGGTTAATCCCTAGTACTAGTGTTAATAACTATGGTTATAACGGCATTATTAGTAGTATTAGTATTGAGGGGGGAAAAAACCGTAAAATAGCAAGTGACGTCACATATTAATATTCACTTTGTCTGGTTTCTTGCAGCACGCCCCAAATAAGAGCGAGTGACGGGAAAATTGACTAACCAAAAACACCAAATCGAAGTTAACCCTGAATTAAATTAAAAATTAAATCCTTCGATTCAATGATTCTTAAATTAATCATTGGTACTCTTATTTTGATATGAGTAGAGAGGAATCATTGTGAATAGGGAGATAAGTTAAGCGCGCAATTAAAGTCACTCGAAGCATATAGTAAGTTCAGTCTTAATTGAGTAACTAACGGAGGAAGAGTAACATTTCCTAGTTGATACACGAAAGATAATATCAGCTCTCCCATCCCCAAAATATACCAACCGTCATAGTAAACTCTACATTGAAAATATTAGAGAAATATCTTTCAGAGTAAACACAATGAAATGGAGGAGGTTTCAACAATTCTGGGAGACAGAAAAGTGTATGCTAATAAAGTAGAGAGAATTATGGTAGCCATTCCATTTTGTTCCAATTAAATTAATAAAGTGACATTGTGGAGGGGAAAAAAATATCTTATTCAAGTTTTACTGATATATGATACGTGCTTATTTGTAAAAGCAACATTAGTTTCACGTTTTCCTCCATACGGTATATGTCAACTTTCAGTGTGTTAAAATCAAGTGACAAATTTTAGGGTCAGAGATGTTTAAACCATCTTAGTTCCTGTATTATTCTGTATGTTAATAACTCGGGTTTGCAATCTATCTAGGGCAATATCTCAGCTCTGCCAAGACGCTAGGACTGGTTGATTTACATAATGGTAAGTATCATACAAAGCAAATTGTGACTACAGGATACATGCTTCTTATCAAAGCATTTAATCTGGTAAACAAGGAGACGAATGTTAAGTTTCCGTTACTGGAATAGGCTATAACCTGTTGGGGTTGTTTTTATTAGATTCCAAGAAAAATTCTCTGGTAAGTTATTATACAGAAAGGTACCGAAGCTTGAGTTATTGGGAAGAAATCACAGTGCTTGGTTTTTTTGTACAAGAATTCTAATCAGTTCGGTACTGGCCATCACAAGATTGTGAACTCCTTTAGCGTTCAATCGTGTGGTGCTACTAATAAAGAACGCAGACTTCCATCACAAGATAGTCTCTTTCATCGTGTGATCATAATCTATCGAATGTACTGTAAGCTTAATTACGCGTATGCTAAAAAGCATTTTCTACAGTCGTCCTCTTTATTGGTGATGTGAGGTACGACTGTAATTTTTGTAATGTCATTAAGAACCCAGGCAGATGTGTTACAAGTAAAATCGTTAAATTCAAATCATCTGACCTGTAGTGGTAGCACCAGAGGTTGACATCTCTATCTTCGTTCAAATTCGATTTCTTAAACATGACGAAAGGTATGTAATGTGCCAGTTGTAAAGGTCGGCGTATGCTAGCTATCGTTATATCCACTGCTGTTGTTCTATCGTCAGTTAAGTGTTTCGGTGAAAGGTGTCTTGAGAAACCAACGATTTGGTGGCGATTGCAAGCTTAGGTTGATTTGCTTTAGAATAATGTGAAATATATACCAAACGGTAACACCACTATATTTCCCACAAAAGTACCTCGTAACTTCAGACTACTCGAAGAACTTGAGAAGGGAGAGAAAGGGATTGGCGATGGAACTTGCAGTTATGGTCTTTCAAATGGTGATGATATATATATGAGCGATTGGAATGGAACAATCATAGGACCTGGTCATGTATGTCTTTGCTTTATATCTTATCATATTTGAAGATCTATACGATAATACTTTAATTTTGATCTTATAGACTGTTCACGAGAATCGGATTTATAGTCTAAAGTTGCATTGCGATGAGAATTATCCGGATGGTCCTCCAGCTGTTTATTTTATCTCTCGTATTAATTTACCATGCGTTAATCAGCATACTGGCAAGGTAAATAGGTTTAGTTACTTGTTTATCGTCATATTAGGGGTAAACTTGTGAAATTCCATTCTTGCAACTTGTATATTTGTTGACCTTATCCAGGTTGAACCAAGTAAATTGAACTGTCTTGCTAATTGGAAAAGGACATACACTCTGGAAACTGTGTTAACTGAGTTAAGACGGTAATTATTGCATGTTGGTCAATACGATTAGTATTCTGTGCACAATTTATGCAACAATCTATTTAATATCTACAACAGAGAGATGTCTACTGCTCACAATAGAAGGTTACCTCAACCTCCTGAAGGAACTACTTTCTAACATCTATCTCGGGAAGTTTCTGTAGTAATGAAATAGAGTCAACTAGCGTCGATAATACTGGTAGTTGCTGTCATAAATCTAATTTTACGTAGAGCAATGTTAGATTAAGGATCTTAATATCCATGAGAGAGATATCGGGAAGTCTTATATCTGTGATGAGAATTGCTGATTTCTCTTATAAGCAATACATTCTCCAGAAATCTATAGATTAGATTTTTATCTACACAAAGACGCATCCCTTTGGATTACTCGTATCTTTCGATCAAAGATAATTTATTTGTTTGGTTTTGAAGTCGAGTTCACGCATGACAGAATGATTTGGACAACCTGCTGAAACAATGGCCACAACAGTAAACTAACTTCTACCTTGAATATCCAAATGTAAGTAACGAACTTGCTTACTGTACCCTATGCTCCCATGTCAGTTCACTATTTAATAGCCAATATCCGTATTGAATATATATTATTGCACGCCAATGGAATTGTGATAATATATTGGCAAGGTAATGTGCACAACTTAGACACGCTACAATGACAGTTGCCAAAAGACCCTACATTCGATGGTAATGTTCCAGTAACCAACATTCACGGCTTCGTCTTTTCTTGTCCCATCCAATTATTCTAGGCCTTTCCTACAAACATATGAAATTTCAACCCCCAAGGTTTCTATAAACTTATCAATGGCATCATGTTCGAGGTTATTCCACACAGCAAATTTGCCCAAAGTTAGAGAATTGCCGGACTTTGACGATGTTGAACTTGCACTACAACGGAATTTATAATGTTATCATAATAATAAAGCAGGGTGTTGATTTCACGTGATCAGCACATATTAATATGTCATTCGCTAGTAGATCACTTTTCGTGTAACTGTAATTAGAGTTTCGAACGAAAGGTAGCACCATAGAAGTATGAACGAATTATAAGGCTCCTAATATGAAACATATTTGCTTAGGACGATAAAATGGGTAGATCGCTTGATTCTCTTTCTCCAGAATGCTTGAAAGTAATAGTAATAGGGCTTTGAACAGGGCAATGAACCGAAGCAAACAGCTTTTTGAAGAGTTTCTTGCTACAATGATTTAATACAATCAAGAGTTTATTATATCGAGCCAAATCATAGCTAAAAAAGAGTCGAATGAAAATCTGATATTAGTAAACTTAATATTAGATAATGACCAACTGCACACGAAAAAAAAAAAAAAACAACATATAAATGAATGGCACAGTTCTAGTAACCAATTTATTTACACCGATTCTGCGGTTATTTAATGCTAATATTGGGTAAAGTTTTGGCTAGGATAACCAGTTTGGGATCGAATTTCATAGTCCTGGCTTAGTATTGTATCATCACCTTGACTCTTATAATCTTCAAGATATGCAATAGAACTATCTTGCGACATGATAGAAGCCGAATTTGCTGAGCTTGCCATCATGCGAAGCCTATCAGATTGAGACAGTCCAAGGCTCATTGAACCTTGACTACTGTAAGCATTTTGAGTAAGCGGTCCCTGAGACGAGACGGAATTGTTATAACTATTATATGAACCCTGCTGACGTTGCTGTTTCTGATGCTGTTGTTGCTGTTGCTGCTGCATCTGTTTCGTCGTCTTGCGACTAGATATGCTGCTTTGTGATAAGTCCTGAGTAAATGGTCCATTCGGTGTTGGAAGTAAAGGAATGCTGAATTGGGACGATGACGGTAAGGATGACATGTCCGATGGAATATAACTGACAGGGTCGTGCGTCCTCATGAAATCAGGATCGTAAGTGCGAACTCCACGACGATCTAATAGCAAATTACACTTAGTAACAATCTATTTTACAACCTTGGATAATAAACAAGGCAACACTCACTATCACTAGCCAATGGCGGCTTCGCTAAAGCTTCACGTGCATCGACCTGATGAGCCAGTCCTTGACGGAACTTGTCATCCTTGCGATAAGCCCTTCGTGGACGACTAAACTGGATCATGCTAACCTTTAGATTGTTCAATGGACCCTCTACCAGACAATCTTTTTCTTTGTAGTGCATTAGTAGATGATGCCAAAGTGGATGCTGTTTGGGGAGACGTGAACTTAGGTAAGAATAAAGAGAAAAATAATTATAAATGTTCTCATATCTGATATCTTACCTTACTCAGCACCTTCGGGTTACCTAATATTACAACACCGTATCGTGCTCTTGTTAACGCAACGTTCAACCGGCGTGGGTCGTTCAGAAAACCAATTCCTTGATGCTCATTACTACGCACACAGCTGAGAATAATGTAATCTTTTTCACGTCCTTGGAACGCATCAACACTGGCGACTTCAATCTCCTTATAGAGTTCTTTACGCAGTGACCCATTGAATTGCATATAACTAACAATATAGCTGCGTTGTCCTTCATATGGCGTAATTATTCCAATTTGTGTGGGTAAAACTCCGGATTTTAAGAATTTGGTAACTACTTTTTCACAATTTGATGCCTCAGTACTAAAATGAGATAAGAGGTCAAGTCTTTTCAATGTTTGCACAAAAAAAGTGCTATTCTCTTTTCTATCGTACTCACCGGTTCAAATAAGATGTTCCGCTGCTTGATATTTCTTCTTGGCCCAGATTGGAATGGAAAAACATTGGGGTTTCTGGTGCGGGCCAAGGAAAGTCTACGTTTTTCTTGAGACGTTCTTGTCTGGTCACGCCATTCTGTAGAGTTCCTTCATAAAACATGTTGCTGGGAAATTCGGATAGACATGGATGCATACGATACTGTACTTGTAACCGTATTGGACGAATACCCAAAATTACTAGACGCTCAAAAAGTGATTGACAAAGTCCAGCCCTAGCAGCTTTCTTATTCATAATAACTGGTCCGAGTTGTTGATGATCACCCACAAGCACAGCTTGCTTGCACCCCAAAACAAGAGGAATCATGCATTCTGGCTCTGTTGCCTGCGTTGCTTCATCAATTAGAACTGTTTTAAACTTGAATTTGGACAAGCGCGGATCACCCGCACCCACACATGTGCAAAGAATCACGTCAGCGCTCTGAGCATAACGGCCAAAACAAGTAAAAGTATGCCATCAGTAGATGATATCGGAGTTTCTTATATTCAACAGCGTATGTACGAACCTGTAATATTTCACGCTCACAAGCCCGTTTGAGCGTTTTGTATTTTTTCTCATCAGCACTACTCAATTCGCCCTGTTCATTTTTCAACTGAATTAACTTTTGCAACTCAACGTTGGTATCATTATTTTGTACTTGCTCATGTAATGTGAGAAAGGAGACCGGTGATTCCAGTGCCTCACGTGATTTTGCAGTAAGCCGAACAACTTTCAGGCCAGTCGCGTGTATCTTTTCTGTCAATTGGTCGACAGCAACGTTAGACGGAGCACAAACGAGTACCTGTCCAGAGTTTGTTTTGGCCAGATGATACACAATTGTTGCTGAAGTAACTGTCTTTCCTGTGCCTGGTGGACCCTGAATCAGACTCAGAGGTTTTTGTAAAACGCTTTTGACTGCATAGACCTGGGAATGATTCAGTTCTGGCAAATGCGGCGCTGAAAATCTAAATGTCAAAGAATGGAATATTTTACAAATGTGCTGTTGTCAACAACGTATCCAAGATGAATATACATACCTCTTTGGCATTTGTGTTCTAGTTACTTGAGGCTCAACTTCGTGTCCGAGTAGTTTATGATAAATATATCCACTAACAGATGTCTCGTCGACAGCAAAGGTTTTCATTGCAAGTTGCATCCTATCAAAACTGGTCGACTTCCATACAAAATCCACGGAGAAATTGACAGTACAGTCTACAGGCGTGTTGTCATTGCGGCGCAATTCCAATCCCACCTCGTCGCTGACATCTTAAAGATATAGAAGACTAATAAAAAAATTGTTATGTAATGTTGAGATATGATGGAATATGATACGTACTGTTGGGTATTTTTATAACATGGCCAACGCATTCCCAAGGCTTTTGCATTTCACCGCGATAACGCAGTCGCAATTCATCTCCAACGGCCAGTCGAACCTCTGAAATTATTTAGGTCAGTCGCCTTTGATATAGTGACAGAATAATTCTACAACAGTAATCCAACTTACCTCCCGATTCAAGCTTGGGCAAATAGAACCATGCAATGCGCTTTTGATTCAGACCAATATCCCAGCGAACTACAATATCATCTTGAGTTTGAGATTCTTTTAATTTTTTATCATAGTCGGCCTCCATTTTCACTAGGGGCCCAAATATGTTTTGATATTGATAGGCATCTTCATATCTAAGCGGCGGATAGGCAAAAACGTTAGAATAAAGGATCGACTTATTCGAATGTTGCCTTTACAATTAGCTGCTAACCTCAATAACACAGGTTGAGGTTCGTCATCAATACCCGGTTTTTCCAGATCTTCAAGTGTGGCTTCACTATTGTCTTTCCACAATTCTTCCAATTTATTTATCTGGTGCGCAGTAATTTGGCGAGCGCGTAGCTGTTCTTGTTCACTTGGAACCTTAACAAGCCACGAAAGAAAACATCTATCGTCGATCAAAGGTAACCACTGAGACGTATCCCAATTCATATCTTTGCTACTTGGCATAGCCGCGCAAGGCTGCCTGGGGAAAATTCATGTATTATTAAAAAATCAATTGTGAGTCAAGCGAAAGCACAGGTAGGGAATATACCTGCAGAGTAAAACGACTACGGCGTCGCTCTTTGCCGGAATGAAGCCAAGCAAAAATACGTTTCTACAACCACAATTATAACACTCAAGGGTAGTTTCCCCGAGGGGCGATTCCGGATGCAAAGCCACTTCCTTGTGCTTCGCTCGAACAAGGTGGTTTATAATGTGTGAGCCAGAAGTATTTCCACGCGAGTTACAGAACCATTTGTTGCAGGTAACACATCTGGATACAGAATTCACGGCGTGAATCCCACAGTATCTAGAGGAACACGATTGTGAGATCGAATGGGTCTCTAATAGTGGCATTATTGGCAGGGAATCAGCGAATGGCTGATCTACCTACCTACAGGCGTGTCCAGGTAATTCCTTTTCAAGAATGGCCAGATCCCGGAATGAGTCCAGCTCGTCGATGCCGACACCAGATAGATCAGGTTCTACGAACTGAGACTGTGAGCCATCGTGGTAGGGGTTTGTCTGTTGAGAGCTTAATGTCGAGTCTATGTCGTTGTAGTCATATTGTGAAGCTTGGGTATCACCACCAGTATATTCAAGATAAGAAAAGTTTTCATCGTCTTGAGTATTTATGCCGCTGAATCGAGATGCCATAATACTTTAATATTACGAATTACGAAAATTAGTGAGAATAAATCATTGTTTTCTTTTTTCGTGTATATTTTATGGCGCTATCTAAGATATCGAGATACAGACAAACGACTGAATCAAACATTTTGACGTCATAACGATAGGATACTGCGCATTAAAGTCATAACTTGATAAAGATGGACAACGTGATGTAGCAAAATGGGAATTACAGTAGTGCACAAAATCTGGATAAATACCAAGTCTAGAACGAATTTTAGTAATAAAACGAACCGAATTCACCTTTGTAGTGGTGAGTAAGGAAAGGTTTAACAATGGCTACATTTAAACTTTGCACATACAAGAATAACGGTTGGTATACAAACTGAGGCGAGTGCTTATAGTGTGAAATAAAGATTCTCGCGATCCCAACTTTATTAGACGTGGTGACAAGCGTATTATAGGGAATGACACGAAAGGAACTAACGTAATTCAACAGCGAAACTCGAGTTTCTTTACATCAATCATTCTTGTGATTTCTGTGGCTTGACCATTTAATTGATGTGGCACTACAACACTTTGTTTAATTTCGTACTCACGAGGCAGGGAGCATGGCCATTACGCTCATAAATACACCACCAAATACCGTATATCCAAGTGAAACACCTTCACCACATACCGAACTTTCGCCAAGTGTTCGTAATATTGCAAAGCATATACAGCCCGATTGTGAGATATACTTTACACCACCAGTGAGTGGAGTTGTGTTTGGCAAAGGCACTTTATATGTCACAGAAAAGTATGCGACTTTGACGTTATTATTGCAAGGCGTGTATACATGACTTTAACCCCGGTGGTATTGGCTGGGTCCAGCCAGCTATCTTTCTTTTCTCCAATAACACAAACAGGACTTGCTATAGATTATCCATCTATAATAATCCATGCAGTGTCTCGACAAATATCAAGGGATGGTATTGGACCCTGTATCTATATACAATTGGCTGCCCTTTTGCCTCACTTTGGCACGTTTCAACTGTCATCGATAGACAAAGCAACTGAAGAAGAAGAAAACGCGGATGAGGACTCTATGACTGAAATTAAAATTGTTCCTGATAACGCTGACGTGTGTGAGTTAGTGCTAACTTTTTTGTGAAGCGTAATGTTGGAATGTCCTCACGTAAATGATTGAGCACTTAGTCAGTGCGAGGCTTTATGCGTGGTGTTTATTGCCGGCAGAATAGTCTCAACAGAAATAGATCCAATTCTCAAAACTTCCTTTTTCCTTTCTGTAACCGAGCAGTAGATACAATATTTGAAGCATTAAGCGAATGCGCTGCGTTACATCCTGATCAAGATTTCGTGGAAGGCGAAGACAATGATCATGCCAACGGTGACTATAGAGAATTGTCCGAACATGGAATGGTAAATACATGAATGGCCATTTTATGCGTGAGAAACAAAACGTTTACTAGTACTTTAATTCTCTCTTACGTGATATAGGCAACTTTTGCTTACTTGGAATCTATTACTGGATCTCTACCCGAAGTAACAAATCCAGGAGATCTAGAAGCAAACATGGTTATTGATGATGAAAGGTTCCAGGATGCGGATGAAGAGATGCAATGAGACAGTGAGCAGAGAAGGAAGTCCAGTCTGTTATAATCGATATCATTTAATATTTGCATATTAACTATAATAGACCTGTTTGTTAACGGCCCGATTTTCTGTCTCGCACTTTTGACTGCGAATTTGTTTACTGTCGTGAATGTCCAATAAAGAATAAGATTAATATTCGCCTTCTCATCAATGCAAAGAAAGTTAACCTTTTATTTCTGATATTTTAAGAGCCCTATTTTATCACTATGCTTATTACATCTAATGAATCGTTACGTTTGGTCGCCTGGGAGAGCGTTTGTGTTTAAATTTAACCGGGGGATATTCTCCAAACGAGATGAGCATTTATGACGAGAGATAAAGTTGACTACATGATGTTCACGTTCCGACTTGTAACGAAGAGAACAAATTGTAGGCCAAAGGACTGATGGCCGTCGAGCATGTTTTTCGATGGAATAGTTCAATTATCGGTGTAATATTTTTAACCATTCAAGCAATTTAGCACAACATACGAGTGAGAGTTTTATACTTAGTAATAGGAAGTACACTATATCAATATAGTATGACTTTATTGCCAAAGTACATAAAATATATATGTATAATTGATCGTTGGTTGAGCCCTGGTTATAGGAGGTACACTCCGTCTCTTCGATCAAACAGTAAAACAATGAAAAAGATTTATTTTCGAAAGTCGTTATCGTCCGTATTTACTATGCAAGTAATTGATTGTATATTTTGAAAACAAATAATGATAAAATAAATACATTATTATTATTGATGACAACGTTAGATAGGGTACACGTATATAATCATATATTTTCTACTAACTATACACTGCGACTTCATTGAACTACAGCTTTGTATAAGCTAACCATTAGGGATATCTATTTGCTGTCAGTTTTTAAGTTCAAATGCTCATGGGCATCCCTTTCTCCTTTACTAGTTAATACATTGTTTTCTAATTTATTGCGTTAAAGGATTAGACGTTGTAACGATAATAGGCATAATGTAATGACCCGATCTAAACTGGTCTAAAGGTAGACAGGGGTGAAATATTTTCTATTGCGTAACGAAACAGCTTCAATACATGCAAGTATTGAGATAAGTCTATGCCATCAGTATGAGATTGCGAACCACCCCCGCATACTGCAGGTTTCGTTGGATTATGTGGATGTGAAAACAAATGGTATTCAAATTGAGCCCTTACAACTATGTCATAAATCCTTGGTATTATCAAAGGTATGCATTATCAAATAATGTAAACAAATTTTATACGCGACAATTCTTTCACAGACCATTGCTTTCAAAAAAAATGCACCTTTGTCTAATATTTGAGGATTTGCTGCACTGGCGGTGACTACGACAGCAAATAGAGGAAGCAAAGACGAAGGCTTAAATGGTGGGCAGAAAAAGTAGCAACAACGATATGGAAAAGTCAGTACCGATAGAGACGTTGTCAATGTTTACTCGTACGCCACAAAATTGATTGTTTCTTTGTCCATAATCAATATTCTAAAAAGACACCAGACTTCATAAGTTACACTTGATTTCTTGTCTATAGTCAATCGCCTCCGTCTATTGTCACATTTTATTAATAAATCTTTACAGAACATAAGTAAGGCCTTATATATGAACGCGTGTTGTTATTTAATTTATAAGCGCGCATTGCTGAAGATTAAATAAAATTATCAATAATTCGCAAAAAACGCTCGAAGCGAAAGGCATTTTTTTTAGAAACGAAAAAGGTACTAGGGCTATACAAACGTTATCATTCTGACTGTTCTGCCAAAAACCGCTGATGGAAACGTTTAACTTAAATATTGACCGTTCAACTATCAGCACAAGAATAACTGGCGAGATGCTGGACAAATAAAGAAAAGAAATGAGGCATTGCCAAGCTAATGATGCTTCAAGTAATTGAGTAACAGGTACAATGCGACATGCTGCCTTAAAAGTTGAGAAAAAAAAACCAATAACATTTTCTAATAATATCCATTTTATTAAATTTAATAGTTTGTTATGAACACTCATTTATTTTTGAATATGTGTAAGCATAGTAGAAATAGAAACGTTATAATCTTCGCTGTCTATAGAGATCGGCTGTACAATTATCCCTTCAGTTGTATCTCCTATTGTATCTCAGAATTAGACATATTGATATTATACCATATAAAATTAGGCCTGCTTATCTATATCTATATATATACACAGTGAAATTCACTTTAACGAATATCGCTTTATAATAAAGTTCTTTCCAGAATGGATTCATACATTTCGTATAAAAAGACAGTTCACTTAAGCAAACTTTCAGGTTAACGAAGCAAAATCGTGGAACAAATGTCTTCGTTAAAGTGAATTTCACTGTGTATATTAAAAAAATTGGATTTCTGTACAGTAGTAGACGGACATCTAAATCACTTGCATTAGTATTATATCAAACTTCCCTATAGTTTCAAGTCAAACAAGTGACTGAACAAATCAAGGTCAAACTGAACTAGACAACCACTTGCCTGTGTTTCTTGCAAAAAGTTGGTCGAGTAAAACTTGGCTCTTCAGTTGCTGATATCTTTAAGGCGTCTTTGGTAAGTTCAAGCTCCGGTTGCTGTTCAGTTATGGCCTCGCCGATATGTTCTGGTTGCTTATGGTGCTGTTCAGTCATGGCCTCGCCTGGTTGCTGTTCAGTTATGACCTCGCCGATATCTGGTTGCTGTAACTCAACTAAGGCGTCTTTGATAAGTTCAAGCTCCGGTTGCTGCTGTTGCTGTTCAGTCATGGCCGCGTCTGGTTGCTCTGCTGTTGCTGCTGCTGTTGCTGTTCAGTCATGACCTCGCCGATATCTGGTTGCTGTAATACTGTTTCCGGCACTGCGTTAATATTAAAAAAGGAATATTCTTCTGTCGCCAAGTTCGTTTTTGCAGAATAAGATTTTAGTATTAGCATTACTTTGTTAAACATATAACCATTGAACTCTTCATCAGTTAGTGGTCGATGAACCGTGTTGTTGTTAGAGGACTTGTTCGTGAGTTGTAGCGAACTGTCGTACGTGCGTAATACGGAGTGGCGGCAAATAATTGTTCGTGTATTTGGGCTTTGGAGGAGAGGTTGCCGTGAAGCGATACATGTACAATTATCTGAGTACATATGAGTAGACATCGCTTCTGTGTCGATCATCGTGTCATTGTTAGAAGGCTTGTTTGTGAGTTGTAGCGAACTGTCTATGTGCATAATATAAAGTGGCGGCAAAGGATTGCTCGTTGTATTTACACTTTGGAGGAAGAGAGGTTGTTGTGAAGCGATACGTCTGAGTATATAGCTAGTGGTCGATAAACCGTGTCGTTGTTGAGTGTTAAGAGTTTGTTGTTTGATAACTTCTTCGTGTCGTATGTGCGTAAAGGTTGTTCGTTGTATATTTAAGATAATGTTGTATTTGCGCTTTAAATGAAGAGAGGTGTCTGGGTATATATATATGAGTAGACACGCGTTCGCGTGTAGATGACGACATCATGACATAATATCGCGTCTGTCATGATTGTTTCCGTAAATAAGAACAATAGAATCAGTGTAACATTCCGGGGTACACGCAGTAAAAAAAATTTTTCACTAGTTAAATTTATAATTGCTGTGGAAGGATTGTGAGGAGGTGTTTTTTTGCACGTAGCCTTATAAGTACCAATGTTGTTATCTATGCTGCACATGCTGTAGAAACATTTGGAAGGATTGTAGTATAAGTATAAATCATTGTCTTACTGACTTTGCTTAACAAATTTTCTGAACGAGATTTTTCATGCGGGCTCTCCCTCTGGAAGCTTCTTGGATTACGTCAAATTGACAGCCTTCTCGAGTGTAAAATATTCTTCATTGTAAACAATTACAGTCAACCCTCTCTAAATGCACCCTCTATAAATGCACCCCCTCTATAAATGCACCCCCTCTATAAATGCACCCCCTCTATAAATGCACCCCCTCTATAAATGCACCCCATCTATAAATGCACCCCCTCTATAAATGCACCCCCCATATGTATCTCACCCTCTCTAAATGCACGCCCGTGATTTTCATGTGATTTGTACTATGCGATTTTGCCCCCCTTGAGCGCGTGTTTGGAGGACAGTGGCAGAAACTCTCTTGATATGACCTTTTTTGAAAAGTAAAAAATATAAATCATGTGTTATATATGATGTCTAGGAGATGATTGGATACTCTAAATTTAATGTTGGACAAACGACAAAGAGGGCAATGTCGTCACGATTGGATAAATTTAATATTGACAATATCGAGCTAACACAAATAGTGTTAGAGACTGTTAATGATCTTAACTTGCCTGACAGTCTGCCGATTGGTGAGTTCTTAAATTATCCTGAAGAGGGAAGAACTTATGAAGTGCCCGACAATAATACGTTGATTGAAGAACTTGTTGAAATATACAAACAACCATATAATGATGATGGTGACATTGATGATGGTGATATTGATAATAATGTTGAGCCACTGATAGTTAATGCCAAGCTGCAAATGGTTTAGAAACTGTTCGTTCATTTCTGCAGCAACAACAGGACCCTAAAGAGTTGCTAAAACATATAAACATACTAATATATCCCAAGTCACGTGCAACCAATAAAATTCTGACCCTCTGTAAATGCATCCCTCTCTAAATGCACGCTCCAGCTCTTTCCCCAAGGGCGTGCATTTAGAGAGGGTCTGTATGTACCTGTTACTACTGAGCGTGCCGCACACATAATTGGATAGAATTACGAAATTACAGTATAAACACACAATCCTGTTCAATGGTTGCATAATAATATTATTAATTTACTAATAGTATCGAAACTCCATGTGACAAAGACGTTTGAAATAGTAAATAAAAATGCAAGGCTACAGTGAACCCTCCATATAAGCACGAGATGCATGTATAGAGGGTCAGCATTTTATTGGTTACACGTGACTGAATAGATATTTAATCGATAAAGTAAAATATTATTACTGCTGATTAAAAAACTCGTCTATTGTCGTTTGTTTCATTACACTCACTGATTTTAAACTAATATAACGATCTAATGCATTAATTGATATATTCTTTCCTGGTTAATTTATCGTCTTGACAAGCATATAAACAGAGTTCATGCTTTTGAGAATCAGATAAGAAGACTCTAGTTTTTGGCATTTTGTTCGCGTGTAGAGATATTCAATATTGTGTATTATTGAAAATGGAGTTTAATATTTGTGTAGTTGGGACTTGAGTAGTGACTAATAAGATGAATTCACTTTGAGGATGTTCTAACATGCATCGTATCAACTTATATATCTTTGACAAGTGTTGTATCCGTTTAACAAAGAAGTTTTATGTGTTTAATAAATTCGACTATTCTTTTATGCATTGATGTCGCGAAACCGTGACTCTATTACAAAGTCGATAATGATTTCAGTTAACAGCGTTAATGACGACAAAGATAATCTTTATTGAAATGGCTTAAATAAAGACGTTTTAGATTTTCAATAAAATTCGCATCGATGCTGGTAAACGATGACACTCAAAGTCAATAACGATTTCAGTTAATTCAAATCTTTGTATTAATGATAACAAAGGCAACTTTTTACTATTAAAATAGTGTTTCTGTTTTTCTATCACAAACATACATAAAGACGAAGGACGGATAACGTCTGCATCATGATTCACTTAGAAGTCGATAATGATTTCTTTCATTGTCAGCATAATAATAACAACACATATTAATATTTATATGTAACACTTATTCGCTGTCTTTTGTATGGACAAATCGTTTCAAACCACTATTACTATTGTTGTGAAATCACGGGCGTGCATATAGAGAGGGTGAAACTCATATAGTGTGAAACGAAAAAAACCGTGCAATGTAGAATATGGAGGGTGTGGATATATGGGGGGTGCATATATGGAGGGTTCACTGTATATTCCAATGAAAATCATGATAATGATGTAGCTTACATTGAGCGATGGGCATTTCCGTCAAGGAATTATATTAGCTAATGGATGAGAGAATCGTGTCCTCAAAAGATAATGTTACGTGACGCGTGCACTACGCATGCATCAACGATGCATTTGACGCAGCTGCTTCGTTCTTGTTTCAGTAATTTTCATTATTGTTTTAATGTAAGATGTGTTCCTGTTTCTTTTCTTCATCAAGACTTTATGGTTGTATAGTCTATTGAACTCAGTAACTAATTGGCCATTTAACGTATCATCTGGGAGAGATGTTGACGTAACGTTGTCGCATACACGCAATACGATATTGCACAGAATTTCATAAAATATCGCAAACTACTGATATTGTAAATCTCGAGCAAACGATCGTATGTCATCATTCTGTCCGCTAGCTAGATTGTATAATACTATACTGGTTGAGCGCGCGAATGTATAACTCTGCCACAGCGAATTCCCTCTATTGTATTCCAAGCCATCAAAATTGTAATCGGTTGGTGTAACACGGAAAGTCTAAAGCGGTTGTTCTGCAAAATCCAACTTTTGTTAAGGTTCGAGCTATTCCCCTTTCACTAATCTTGCTAAAAAAGGATATACTTTTTTTGCCGTCACACTTTACACAAGGTTTATCTCTTGTCTTTCGATATACTGCTTCCATGGCCAAAAATGCAAGCGTTCCGTACAAACAATTTATAGAATTAGGTAATCAGCTTGTAGTGGAGGATAAACACAATGCCGTAGACATATATTGTCCACGACCATCCTGCCGTTCTTTAATAATGCGTGCAAAGGTTGGACAGTTGGTTGAACGACCTAAATCAATGGTTCAGCGATCGTTTGTAATTTCCAATATTATTTTATTGTGCTTTCATGTCGTTATCAGATTCCACCGAATTTTCACCCGTCATCTTACCCAGTCTTATTTTTCTTGATCTGTGTTATTCAATTTAATTAGCTAGACATAGCCGACAGCGATACATCGGTGGCAGAAGACACAAGTGCAGAGGCCGAGGCAATGCAGCAATACTGGCAGTTGTCAAACATGATGGCTTTTGAAAATATTGGATTTTCGAAAACGGTTGCAACTGGGTTGAAGTATTTATCTTGTGCCGACTGTGATACTGGGCCTCTCGGATACCATGATACCACAAAAGAAGCAGAGTGTTTTATTGCTGTAGATCGGGTTGGATACGCGGCGGGCACATAAAGGGGCAAGGACGAGAAGTATAGTATTTAATGATAGGGATTCTGTGTATTTAATACTTCAGGCTGGTTTTGACTTGGATAGCGAGAGAGTCTGGTTTTATCGACATTTCTTCCCACGTCATCAAACGCAAATTTGTTTTTAGAATTACTACAATTGAATAACGATATGACTGATATCGTATGAATCACTCGGGGATTGGCTCATCTTATTAATAAAAGATTTTGTTCCCGATCAGTGAAGCATGGATTATGGTCTTGCGAAGAAGAGGAAAAAAAATCATAGGCGCATATACTGGTCAACAATCCAATAATAACAATTCACTAACTCAATTCTATTTACACCAAAGCTGATAAAAGCGAAGACGTCCGATGCTAGAATGATTCCGAAGCTGCAAACTTGTTTATCGGATCCAACCTCGCGGAGGCAATAACCATCGTCACTGCATCGAGATCCCATTACGGGTGTCATAGCTAACTTGTCCCGATATGATATGGACATAGTTCTGACGTTTGTGATGATTACATGGCGGCGTTGCTATAACGTACTGTAATCATTAGGAAACAAAAGACACAGTAATAGTATACAAAAACGTGCATACAGGACAGCCAGACGTTGTAAGAGTGAACATATCAGTCGTGTTTTCACAATTTCTATAATTTTGAAAACAGCGATAATTATGTGTTTATTTTTTGAATCTGAAAATTTTTTCCTACTCATAATATAACTGCTTTATTCTAGCCAAGGTCACAAGTCCCGCAGACTTTATTAGCACAATGTCATGTGATGTATTTAGTTCTGTCAAAGTTAAAATATTAATATTCTTCATTGTTTTAATTGTTTCTTTGGGGTCATCTTCGTAAAGTTATCTCCGTCATCAGACGATTCTAGCATTGTACGATCTTCATATTGACTTTCTAGGTTATTCCATACTTCATTCGCCGAGGCAACTCTTTCTTTAACCGCAGAACAAAAGCAGGCTTTGCGATATTGTTGTCAGAGATCTTTGCAGACCCAATTCTTCGAACTACGTAGAAGGGCTTAATGTACTCCATCTTAAACAAATCTTGTGTGTATCCGTAACACTGCGAGCCATGTACACACAAACCCTCCTTGGGTATCTTGTAACCTAATTTGTGCTTTTCTTTATTAGACATATGGAGCATATCTCTCATTTCTCGAAGGATCTAATAAAAATCTTCAGATGTCTTCTGCCTATCTTGATCTTGCGGAGCATAAGAAATTTCCATAACAAAGCATTCATGCCCATCTTCCGATAATCCCTTTCCATCTCCTTTATGCCCTGTTGCAATTTTTGGGAGATAAAATATCATGATCACTATCTTTTCTTAATGCCGTTGAATCTAACTCGACCTCTCTCCATGTCTCCACTCCGTATTGCCTTCCCTGTGATAAAACTCATTATTGTACTCCACATTAGTTGATGGATGTGAGATCACGTTTCTTTTACTTGTAAATTCGCCAATAAAAACATGGACTAGTAACGCATACTGCTCAAATACGGTAATCTCGTCTTCACCTATGACTGTCCACACGCGTACAAATGTCCGCAACAACGATTGCTTATCGTCTTTGTGTTTTGAAAAATAGGTTTAAGTCTTTCCAATAAACATTCTCCTACGAGATGGAGTTTTTGGCCCCGAGGTTGTTCCCAGCTTTCTTTCGAACACATATATTTAAGTGTATCGTTCTGGAAAGTTACCACGATGCTATCATTCTCCGCTCTCCATGGATGCAAATCAATTTTAAGAAAATACTTGTTCCACACATTTGTGAAATTCTCACCAGATTCACGGCGATGTTTGTTGTGGGTATTCTGTCATTAGCCCCGTTTATGGGCGACGCTCCCATTTTTCTCAAGCTTGTTTATATTGTACTCAATGGTGTATGAGTACGGGAGTGTAATTCAGAAGCATCACGTATCCCTTCGTCCCATAAATGTAATAGTGTTTGACGTTGTGTTTTTTTTTTAGATGATGGTGACATTTTAACTTTCAATTAAAGAGCAGGTAACAACAAAAACACGCATTTTTAATGACGCGATTTGGACTCAAATTGGGTAAGTTACACATGTACGAAAACTCTGAATAATTTTCCAATTTTTTTTTCTTCACACTGTATACATAAATATTTCGAAAGAATTAGTCTGGTATAAGTAAGCAAACATCGACAAGATGATACTCTGAACAAGAACCCGCTAGCATTGGTATACACTGGAGGAGCACAGCAGCACGTTCAGGTAGGCACTAAGAAGTGTCTTTTCAAGCATCGGCCATATGTGATCCACAAAAATGTAGTGAGCATATGGGCGTAGGATATCATCAAGTCCGGCTTTCTGGTAAAGAACCCCGCTAGCATTGGTATCTAACACGTCCAGGTAGGCAAGGAGTGTCTTTCCAAGCATCGGCCATATGTGATCAACAAAAATATAGTGGGCATATGGGCGTAGGACCAGCAAGTCAATGTTTATTAATGAAATGAATGGTAACATATATTACCTTGTCTACCTTCGACATAATGTCTCAAATTTAAGTTTTGCTTAACTAGAATAATAATAAGAAGGACGGGCATGGGTGTTTACAAAGTCTCGCGAGGCTATGACTAAAATAAAAACGCGTCAATCATGTGATGATGTTTTTCTTCCAAATTTGTCAATACAACAATTGAAAGCGGGTTTCTTATTAATGTTAATGGTCTTAATATTAACCGTTACACTGGATATAATGGTTTCACAAATAGAGCAAGATTTCAAAAAAGGTTGGGAGTTCAGGTATAAAATCGTGGTAAGACGTCTAGTTGCCATGCTTAGGATTTTACGCATAAAAAATTGGTTTAAAATCGTTTACCTATGATGGCGGCATTTCTCAACTAAATCAACAGATATCCCTGTCGACATAGTTGGTTGTGACCGTTGTATCTTGCTTGGGTATGTAGGTAGTATAAACATATGAAAAATCTCTTTTTCGGAAATTTTTATTGTAAATATCTACTAAGTAAATCGTAATAATTTTTGTACCGTCGGGAAGCTAATTGATTGTACTTTTCGCAAAAAATGATGTGAACTTTCGATTGGTTACTGTAACGAAGGTGGTTTAATGTTTACACATATAAAAATGTATGAAAATCCATGGCCTATAAATTTCAACGCTGAAAAGAGTATAAATAAGAGCCAATCCATTTTTGGCAAAATCCCTGACTGCAATTTCATGACCAAATCGACTATTCTAATTTTAATCGCGTGTAGGACTTTGATATAACAAAGCAATTAGTGACCAATGTAAAATGCTGTATCAAACATTCGGCGCAATTTTACTATTAAACTTCGTTCTGTTTGACTATATTAAGGTCTGTCCGTTACTTAGATCGAAATTAATCCGATAAGCTTTCTCCAAAGGGTTAGAAATTCATTTAGCCAGAGCACTTCGAATAAACTGGCTCTCACAATTGCATTAAAAAGAAACCATTTACTTATTGTAAAGAACGTATCATTCTATTTTCGTCAACCAAACTGGCTTTGGTCGTGTTAGGAACGAAAAACATAGAGTGAGGAACAAAGACGCGATGAATTGCTTCTTTTATGTAAAAAATGTAAGCGTTTGGTGTCGGTCAATAGACAAATACGTTATTGGGTTTATTCGCACATGAATGATGGTATGGGAATGTTTTATCAACAATTGGTCTGAACCGGACATATAGAAATCTTGCCAAAAGTTAATGCAGACATTCACAAAACGACAAATAAAGTTAGTTTACTGACAAACTGAATCTTCAAGGCCCAGTATTTCAAACTTGTGAGTATTTGCTGGGCATGTGGTACATAATAGAACAAATTCGACAAAATACTGCCTATATTTACGTGTATAGCTGAAGGTGGGTTGTGTGGAAGAAATGGTTACACTAGTTCAGCAAACTATACCATGTCGGTAAAGGCCTTGTCTTAATGCTTACAATATAAATTTTCAAGCACACGCACGCAAAATAGCTACTTATACACGTATATAGCAACTAACTCAGAAATACGAAAGCATAATGTTCAATCCCAATGAACTGTAAGTTTCAGAAATTATTATTAACTCTGTTTTTGATAGCAGATTATTGCTAGTGTAGTCTTATTACAAGTGAGTCTCGATATAACGACATCTTGTTATAACGACAGAAATCGTAAAACAGAAAATCTATATTGCTTAGTTGTCATACGTAAGTTAATTCTCGATATAAGGACATTCTATAGTGACCATTTGGGTTGGAGCCGAGCGTGTCGTCATATCGGGACCCACTTGTACCGGCAGGGGGTGTGAGTGGCTATTACCCAAGCCGTTATAAGAAACCTTTGATTGTTAATTAAACTTTTTCATACCATTTTTTTATCACCAGCACTTATCGTAATAGGGGTATGACAAACATTAGTATCTCCGCTATGCGCGTAGGATTGCGCGTTTTCGGTTCCGCCATTCAAATACCGACAACCATAAACATATTTAAAGACATTATCCCTCAAATTCTTCAACCATTGCAATATTTTGCTTATTTGAAAATCAAAATCGTAAGCACATAATCTCTCCTCAATGCTAACATCACCGCCACCAAGCAAAAGGTCCTAACCTACGAATAACATGGGTTTACGAGACGCAAAAACAACTCCGCGAAACCCAAGCGGATAGTTCTATTCATACAGTTTCCATCGACCCTGGCGTTCGTACACCCTTCACATGGTACTCTCCTACTAAAGGTTGGTAAAATCGGCCAATACGACATTGGACGAATTATTCGTCTATGCAAGCATATGGATAATCTAAAGGACAGACAAGCTGGCTGCCTCTAGTTCAAAACAACAGGCCTTGCGACTTGATAAGGCAATCCTTTCGGGTGCGACGAAGTTCATAAAAAGAGTGTCGCATTTTTTACTCGCAAATTTGATGCCATTATCATCCCTCCTTTTGAGGTGTCGAATAT